AGATCAGATCAAGTATGATGACGGCGATAATATTCCTCATCTTAACTACCACCATCATCATCGTCGCCGTCGTCATCATCCCAATCTAAATCATCGTATTCTAAGTCGCAATCACCGTAATCTTGACCAACAAGACAACCAACAACAACAACAACACATTCAACTGACGGAGAATGCAACAACAACAGCACGCACAACAACAGATACATCGACGATGACAACATCAGAAACAACAACAACAGCAGCAGTAGAAACCTCGACTCTACTGAAGACGTTAGTTTACTTAGCAACCTGCTACTCCAACTACCACGGATTCGTCAGCCTCATTGTCTGCATCATTGGTACCTTCTGCAATGCTTTCAACGTCATCGTATTGACCAGGAAAGAGCTGATCAACAGCACAAATCTCTTTCTCACGGCACTGGCTTTAGCAGATTTCTTTACAATGCTTTCCTACATCCCAATCTCTCTCCACTTCTACTGCATCTACGGTCCTGAGAAGAGTCCCAAGCGGAACACTTATTTTTGGGCGGTTTTTTTGATCTTTCAGGCAAACTTTTCTGTAACTGCTCATACGATTGCTATCTGGTTGGCAGTGGTCCTATCCGCTTTTAGGTACTCGTTTCTAAAGCCACACGTGGCGTCGACTGCTACTTCTGCTGCTGTTGATGGTGAGGCGAGTAGGAAGAGATGGAAAAGATTGAAAAAGTTAGTCAGATGTCTTTTTTGTTTTGTCATCGTTCGCAAGGGTGTCACTGGAAATTCAACAACCATGACGATGATGTCATCACCGAACAATCGACGTCACCTGATCACGTGCTCATCATGTCGTCTGCCAAGAAACAGCAGCCGATGTTCCTCTCTGACGTCATCAGACGCACAAACAGCTACCGCAACGGCCTCAACAACGATGCCGACCGCAAATAAGTATTCGCCATCCAAAAATGAAAACTCAAACGACAACTTCTCCTACCGTTACTACCAGCACTACTACTTCTGCTGCGGGTGCTTCTGCAAGCAGAGCGTCAAGTTTAAAAAAGAAACTCAATCCGGAAGAATCCGACATGGAAAACAAACAAACTGCACAACATCAACAACTGCTACAGCCACAAAAAACGCCAGCGCCGTTCAGAAGCCAGGTCGTTTGGACGAGATGTGGGCAGAAGTCGAAGCTGGCCGTGGCGATGGTTTGCGTCTGCAGTGTCATCATTCTAGTGCCTAACTATGCAACGCTCAGGATCGTAACCGAACCGATCTCTCGGGCCGGTTCAAACGGTTCTAATCTTGAATACTATCATCTGGAGTGGCATCGTTTAAACTATTCGGACGAATTGAGCGATGATTATTCGTACGATGAAGGCGAAGATGGTGAGGATTTCAACGATACGAACGTGTGTAACGACGAAGAAAGCAGCAGCAGCAACAACAACAACAGCAACGACAACAACGACAACAACAACAACAACAACATCAACAACGCTGCTAGCAGGAAGAGTGCCTCTACAAATGACATCAACATTAACATCATCGCATCAGCGAAAACGCCCTCAACAGACATCAAGACAATCAGCATGGTGGACTTCAGTACCAGCGCTAACGTCATTCCAACTACAACCATTCCTAACATACTTTTCAGTATTTTTACTGCCTCTGTGTTATCGTTCGAGAACAATAACAATAATGACGTCGTGAAAAACAGAGATGGGCCTGAAAAATCACCGGATGACAATTTAAACGAGTCCGGCTCTGACGATAATGCGCTTTTGAGGGACCACATTTTGAAAACAATATCCATTAATAACAACAACAATAACAAAATAAATAATTATAATAACAACAACAACAACAAAAATAATAATAATAGTAATAATAATACAATTCGAAATGTTCCAAACAAAAAGTTAATGAAACGTAAAGACGTCAGATCATACAGTGACATGCGCGCCACCACTTACAACGATGAAAATAGCAAGAAAAAATTTAAAATTAAAAACATCGCGCGCTATAAAAATCGCACAACGACTCGCAAGTCCAGCAGCAACGTAAATTACGACAATATAAATAACAGTTACGCAAACAACAACAACAACAACATAGATGAAAACCAGTTTATATACGAAGTTGCATCATATCAAAGATTCAATGAAGAAAAAGAAGAAGACAACAACAACAACGACAACAACAGCACAAACAATAACAACAACCAAACACATCCAACCAACAACAACAACGACAGCGATTTTGACTTTATGGAATTTCTAGCGAATGCCAATTTCTGGATCCAAGCACTCTGCGTCAAACTACTACCGTGTTTCTTCATGACTGTCTACTGCCTGCTACTGATCCGCATGATGCATATCTCAAATCGCAGACGCAACCAACTACTCTTCAGTACAAGAAACAACAAACTAAACAACCCAGCAGCTGTTGTTGCAGCTACAGTAGCTGCATCTGCAGCTACTGTAGCTGCGACAACGGCTGCCGCCAACGTTAACATCATTGGCAAAAACGATTGTTTGGTTAAAAATCTAAAAAAGAGCCAGAAATTTCAGAATACAGATGGCTGTTGTTGTGATGATGATGAGGATGACGACGATGGTGGTGGTGGTGGTGACTGTAGGAAGAGAAGAAAAAGAATAAATTACGACGACAACGATGTTTATAAAAGGGATGAAGAAGATGGAGAGGATGATGCTGGCCCTAGTCGGAAGGACATTTTTTTAGAGAGAAAAATTTCATATGAAAGATGCCATAGAAGTCTTCTTCCTAGACAAAGTTCCAGTTTGAAAAACAACAACAACAACAACAACAACGTCATCTTAACAAAATCAAACGCCGGTTTGGTTGTTGTCGGTTGCGTTGTGCTAAACAATTCAACGTGTGAACTGCTTAATAAGCCGAAGTTGAACACCAATGCAAACATGATTTCAAACAACAACAACAACAAAAATAATCATAATAATAATAACATCAATAACCTCAATAACATAAATAACATCGAAAGCATCAATAAAATTACTAACATCAATAACACTGATAAAGGTGACAAGGACCATGTCAGCAATTTTGAAGACCGCATCGATAGGATTGAGTTGGAAGTTAACAATAGTGATTTCGTACTAGCCAGCAACGCTAAAGGCAAAATTGGTAGCAGTAACAACAACATCAACAACAACAACAACAACAGCATCAACAACAACAACAACAAGAGAAAAACTAAGAGAAAAGGTACTAGGAACGCGCAGACAAAGAAGCGACAGCAGACTCGGCAGAAAGATCATAATAGGACGACCGCAATGCTTGTTGTTATTGTTGTCTTGTTTCTTATCACGGAATTGCCACAAGGTCAGTCTCAAAAATACATACTAACATACATACTAACATACATACAAACATTCATACAA